AGAGTTTGGGGTGTTGACAATTTTTCATTGCTGAATTGCTGGGGTAGTCAATTTCTTGGAGGGGAGGCAATGTACATCTTTGTCTGTTGGGGCCTGTAATTGATGATTCTTTCCTGTTGATGATCCTTGTGTTGTGATCTATAAGGGACAGTTATTCCTACAATTGATGTGGAGTGGTACTGCATGGCAGTTCCCCAGTTCTGTCCTCCAGACTCCATTTTGGTGAGGTTTCCCTTTATTAATTTTCACATTTCTCCCTTTTAATTAAGATTTTTTCTCCAAAAACACCACTGATCAAGAGTCAGTGGTCTTTTGTCCTTCAGTGTCTGGAAGAACCTTTCCTAGCTGTCATGTCCCTTGTTAGAGAGAAACCGCACAGATTAGAAACTTACTGAGGTCACATTTGAGTAACAAGGAGGGGAAGGAGGAAGAACTTTCCAACACTTTGCATCTGTAGTCCATATTTATCAAGACCCTAAGCAATAGGGTACACCACTTGGGGTACATTGTTTTTACAAAGGTCTAGCAGGCAACAAGTACAGAATCAAAAATAACAGGACAATTCCAAACCTTCAGTTGAAGGTAGCCAACTGAACAAATACTTGTCTTAGTTCAGTCGCTAAGTCACGTCTGACTCTTTTGTGACCCCATGAACTGTAGTCCGCTAGGCCTCTCTGTTTATGGGATTTCTCAGGCAAGAATACTGGAGTTGGTTGCCATTTCCTTCTTCAGGGGAATCTTCCCAACCCAGGGATCACACCCAGGTCTCCAGCATTGATTTGCAAGTGGGTTCTTTACCACTGAGCTACTAGGGAAGCCCCAGGCACTTATTCTGATTTCGAGGGGTAAAGTTCTCCCTATGGAAGTGAACCCAGAATCATGGATGTCTCCTGGATGTCCCCATTTAAAACAGCCAGGAGAGCAAAATAAAATAGTGAATACAATAAGAGCACACAAAATCTATAAGAATTAACCCAGTGCATATGGGAAGATATAGTGCAGGCATAAACACAAAGCAATAGCTAATGAACTCTTCATGAAGACAGCAAAACTTCAAAGATATTTTAAAAGCAGTAGTGTAATCTCAAAAGAACTCTTTGGAAACAAATATGTTATCAGTAAGTAGCATGGTATGTAAGGTTACAAGTTCAGTTATCCTGAATTCGGATAAGAATCCAGTCAGTTATCAGTCCAGATGAAAAAAGACATGTGAATCTTGAACTTTCTAATAGTCTTGACCCTGACAGTTTGGCAAAGATGTCTGGTCAGATGTTATCTGCTTCGGTTCTGAGAAGTCTTTGCTTTCAGGTCATCCTCTGGTGTAAGGTTCAATTGGGGTTTGGTGCTCTTTTGAGATGTGTCATGTGAAATGAAGAGCCTATCCCCTGGAGTTTGGCAGCACAAGGGTTGGTTAGCAGTACCTGAAAGTGGCCTTTCCAGTGAAATTAAATGAGACTTTTTGGAGGTATCTTTTCCAGTAGATGAAATCTCTAAGATGCAAGATATGATGCTTACGGTCTTCATCTCCTGGGAGGGTTCTGTGACAAGGCTGCTCTATCAAAGCATGGTTATTTTTAATGGAAGCAACTAGGCCTTTATACTATGATGTATACTTCTTTTTATCAGCTGTGAATCAAAAGATGCAGGGGTCAGGTATATTGGATGTCTTGTGACTTTCTCAAAGGGTGAGAGTTTTTGAGTTCCAAAGGGGGTGGAACTGAGATTTAGAAGGACCACCAGCAATGCTTTTGGCCAAGGTATTTGGAGGGTTTTACAAATTTTGCCAATTGAGTCTTAAAGTGCCCTTAGTTTGTTTGATTTACCCTGAGGATTAAGAATAAGCACAGAGTAAGTGTCGTGAAACCAGCCAAATAGCACAGACTTATTAAAGTACTTGACCAGTTAAACAGGTTCCCTGATCTCTAGGCAGTTCAAGAGGGCTTCCTCAGGAAGGGATAATCTTTTACTAACAGAATTTTAGGAATTTTCTGACAAAGGTCCGTCTAGTTAAAGCTATGGTTTTTCCAGTAGTCATGGATGGATGTGAGAGTTGGACTATAAAGAAAGCTGAGCACTGAAGAATTGATGCCTTTGAACTGTGGTGTTGGAGAAGAGTCTTGAGAGTCCCTTGGACTGCAAGGAGATCAAACCAGTCAGTTCTAAAGGAAACCAGTCCTGAATATTCATTAGAAGGACTGATGCTAAAGCTAAAACTCCAATACTTTGGCCACCTGATGGGAAGAACTGACTCGTTAGAAAAGACCCTGATGCTGGGAAAGATTGAAGGCAGGAGGAGAAGGGACCACAGAGGATGAGATGGTTGGATGGCATCACTGACTCGATGGACATGAGTTTGAGCAAGCTCTGGGAGTTGGTGATGGACAGGGAGAGGACCACAGAGGATGAGATGGTTGGATGGCATCACTGACTCGATGGACATGAGTTTGAGCAAGCTCTGGGAGTTGGTGATAGGTAGGGAAGCCTGGCGTGCTGCAGTTCGTGGGGTTGCAAAGAGTCGGACATGACTGAACGACTGAATAGAATAGAATTTTAGCTATAGAAGAAGCAATGACCTGTCTACAGAGGAAAGTTTCACTCTAGTGAGAAAAATACAAACCATGACTAAAACATATTTAGTTCTGTGAGACAGAGGAAGCTGAATGAAATCCATTTGCAAGACTCCCATGTTCCATCAGACAATTCAGTGGCCAAGAATTGTGCAAACAGGTTTTCCTGGATTCTAGCTTGAGCAGGTTGGACAAGTGAGGTGCAGGCACTTTTTGTGACCTTATATTTCCCCACCGATATCTGCTTGTGAATGCTATCATTTTCTCAGTAGACTAATGGTTTAATGTGTGCACAGAGGTAAGTAGTGGGAATTTTTAAATTTCTGGTAAGACCAGATTGTTGGCTTTTTTAAAAGTAAAGTATGTAGGGACTGGGCCATAAGAGAAGTATTTGGAATCCAGTTTTGACAGTGGGCAGCTAGCCCAAGAAAACCTCATGATTGGCACTTAATTGTAGATTTCCAGATGTACAGGATGCCCCAGATCTACCTAGAACCAAAAGGAATGTTTTCCATAATCAGGTGACCTAAATATCCAACTCGCTTTAGAGAAAACTGCAGTTTTTCTTTAGAGACTTTCTGTCCTTTGAAGGCTGAAAGTTTTAACAGGTGAATGCTCTCTTGCCATGAAGAGTTTTATAGAGAGCAGAGAAGCAAATCATTCATGTACTGTGACAGAGTAAAGCCTGGAGAAAAGTTTATATCACCCAAATCAGCTTTCAAGACTTGTAAAAAGTAAGAGGAACTGTCTGTGAAAGCCTGGGACATTGCTGTCCAGGTGAATTGCCTTTTTTCCTACGTGAAAGCAAACATGCATTCACTCTCCTCATCAATTAAAGTACTAAAGAATGGACTATAAATCAGTTACAGTGAAAAAGTTGCTTTCATTGGGACTAGATATCAGTAGTGTATGGGGCTTAGGAACCAGGTGACAAGGGATAACTGTTTTTTTTTGCTCATAACTCTTGGACAAACTTCTTGCCCCTTGTATTGGGTTTTCTCATAGCCTAAATGGGCTTCTCAGGTGGCACAGTGGTAAAGAACCCGTCTGTCAATGCAGAAGACCTGAGGTCGATCCCTGGGTCGGGAAGATCTCCTGGAGAAGGAGATGGCAACCCAATCCAGTATTCCTGCCTGGGAAATCCCATGGACAGAGGAGCCTGGAGGGCTGCAGTCCATGAGGTTGCAAAGAGTCAGAAGCAATTGAGCACACACAATCTAAATAGCAGTGTTCCAGGGACTAGTACAGGGGATAAGGCGGCCCTGAGAATTTTAATCCTCTATTATGGGTTTGATGCCTTGCAGGAATTCTTTATTTCTAGGATACTGATTGATTTAGGGAGAAGTTTGACTGTTGTTTGAATTCAACATTCAACATCTGTTTGAATGTTGACAGAAGTTGCATTGTGGATTCCTCTTAATATCAGCTGAAGATTTTGCCTGTAAAGAGGATGATGGTAGCTATCAAATAGGGACAATTATCAGTGTCCTCCAGATTCAGCTACAGTGCCATAAAAAATAGAGCTAATAAAATATGTCAAAATGAAAATATTAGTTGCTCAGTCATGTCCAACTCTTTGTGACTTCATGGACTATAGCTCACCAGGTTCCTCTGTCCATGGAATTCTTCAGGCAAGAATACTGGAGTGGGTTGCCATTCCCTTCTCTAGGGGATCTTCCCAACCCAGGGGTCAAAACCGGGTCTACTGCATTGCAGGCAGATTCTTTACCGCCAGAGCCACCTGGAAAGCCATCAGAAATGGAGTCAATAGTGGAGTCAACAAAGTTGTCAAAGGGTCACTTAATTCACTTGATTGGCTATTCTGATTGCTACTGTCAGATTCCAGAGTTATCTCTGTGTGGGGAGAGAGAAATTCCAGCATGATATTTTTCTCTAAGTCTCAGGCTAATAGATGCATAGGGGCAGAGGAACTCAGGAGAAAAGGGTGTATTCTGTCAAGGAGACAAAAGGAAATAGGTTCAGAGACAGGAACTTCTTGAAATTCATTAGAGAGTCCAACTAATTGAAATATTTTAAAATTCCAAAGCCAGGGCTGCTTTACAGAAGTGGGGTTGAGTACTAGGAGTGTAGCTCCGGTGTCATTAAGGATAGAAAGAGCCTCATCCTTAATCCGGAGAAATGTTTCCCCAGGTGGATCAAGATGGAGGATTGGGAAGAGTGATGCCATCCAGCCATCTCATCCTCTGTCGTCCCCTTCTCCTCCTGCCCCCAATCCCTCCCAGCATCAGGGTCTTTTCCAGTGAGTCAAGATGCCATGATCTTAGTTTTCTGGATGTTGAGCTTTAAGACAACTTTTTCATTCTCCTCTTGCACTTTCATCAAGAGGCTTTTTAGTTCCTCCTCACTTTCTGCCATAAGGGTGGTGTCATCTGCATATCTGAGGTTGTTGATATTTCTCCCGGCAATCTTGATTCTAGCTGTGTTTCTTTCAGCTCAGCGTTTCTCATGATGTACTCTGCATATAAGTTAAATAAACAGAGTTAAAGGTTACCTGAGTGGATTCACCATCTGAAGGATAACAAGAACTTGCATCGCAAACAAATGCTTTGCACACATTCTGAGAACGATTCTAATTGTCATAAACCGGTTCATCAGGTTTTTGTGTGCAAGTCTGAATTTTGTTTCAATCAGTAGTTTTAAGAAAAGCTACAGTAACTGCTCAGTAGAGGTTTCCAGAAAATATTCTAGCATTTGGCCAAAAGTTAGGGGTTTTTCTAAATTCTGTTTGGGCTGTTCCCATCAGACGACCTTAATCACATGTTTGGGTTGACCCTCACCAACAAGCAGGTGGACTGACTGATAAAAATCTAAGCAACCAGGTTGGGAAGTTTGAATGAACTGCATTAGACTCTTCAGCAAACCTGTGAGGTTTCTCGGTTACTTTAGGAAACTCTTCAACTATGACTCCCAATTCAGCCTTAGTCTAGGGAACATAAGAAATATAGGGTTTATCTGGGTGCTCGAAAGACATAATTTTAGAGAGGCAGGTTCTGATAGATTCAGAGGAGGAGGGAGTGGAGAGAAGTGCCAAGAAAAAGAGAAATTCAGTGAGAGCATTAGACGGGGGAAACTGAGGGTATAGAGGAGATGGAGGCAGTGCAGCAAGAGGCAGCCTGGCAGTAAGTGGCTGTCACGTGTGTGAAGTCAAAGGAAGGGAGAGGGAAAGAGAGGCCTCAGAAGCCTTTAGTTGTTCATTTACCTCAGTTAATTTAAAAATTGTAATTTGCAGAGAAGTAATTCTAGATTGCCAGCAATGACTGGAAGCCTCAGAATCCCAATTAAATAGATGTTTAATTCAGTTTTAAGAAAAGTAAGTTTGGGGAGCTCCAATGTTCCTCATAATGTTGATTGGTGTTCTCAAATACTGTTGAGTCCATTTAATTAGAAATGCACATGAGGAGGGACCAAAGTTTTTAAACGTAAAACAAGCCGGGGTCCCAGAAAGGAGGGGGGCATTGTCAAAGCATTTGGATGACAGGGATCCCATTTCTTAAAAGATTTTTCTCTAGAGCAAAAAGAAAAATTCCTAAACAGCAGAGTTCCAACAGGCACATCCCAGTCCCAAAGAAATCAGACCAAAGACCAAAGGAATACTCTCAGAAAGGACAAAGCCTTTAAATAGATCGCAAATAAAGATTGGAGAACTCAAAATGCAGACAGTGGAGCTTGAAATCCAGGACAGACTTACCCTCAAACTCCAGGCTTAGCTAGAAGGCAGTGAGTACATGGACTCTGTGGGGACTAGCACCTGTGTCCTCACCAACCTGGGAGTTTGGGGGAGACCTCTTAGGATCCCACTTCCAAGCACCCAGTTATGTTGATCTTAAAACAGTTGTTTCACCAGCAAAAATGGGTTAATTCTAGAACATCAGAGAAGTGCAATTCAGGACAAGCAAGCCATGACAAAGACCATAGGTAAGTTCAACAAATCAAAGAAAGGAATGTTACTTTGTAGAGAAGAAGGAGGAAGGTGGGAAGGGTTGCTTCCAATAGAAGTCTATTAGAGGAAAGTGACAGTTTAGGTTCCTGGGGTAGTCAATTTCTTGGAAGGGATGCAATGTACATCCTTTTTGTTGTTGTTGGGGCCTGTGATTGATGATTCTTTCCTGTTGATTCTTTTATTGTGATTTGTAATTGAAAATTCTTCCTATAATTGATGTGGAGTGGTGCTCACAAAAGCAGTTCATGTTCTTTGCAAAAATCTGTGGGGCTTTGAGGACCTGGGTGTAGAGGGGAATGTGGGTTTCAACTATGCCACAGTCTGGACCTTTGACAAGCAGAGTTGTTTAGCATTTCTGATCATCAATAGAAAACTGTGACATCACCAAAGGGCAAAAATGGCTTTTGACACCACAGCAAAGAGTTTCAAGTACAGTTTAACTCTATGTTTTTTCTTCCCAAGAACCTGCGCCCTTTCCTGGGATTGTGGACATTTCTGCAGCTGGAGGTGGTCTTCTGGAATATCGAGCTAGTCTGCTGGCTGGGAAGGGTTTTGGTGTAATGGCGCTGGCTTATTATAACTATGAAGACCTCCCCAAAAGCCTACGGCATGTCCACCTGGAGTACTTTGAAGAAGCTGTGAACTACCTGCTTAGTCACCCTCAGGTTGGAACTTCTCTTAGTTTCATGTTGTACATATCAGTTCTCCTTCTCTAAAATGCTCTTGGTTTTCACAGAACTTAACAAATTCATGACAGCCACTCTCTGCCCCCAACACACTCTACCTTTCATAGTCACTTCTCCCAGACAGTTTCCATGCAATTAGTTGTTATTGTTAGATTTCCTGCTGGTAAAAGTGTCCTCGGTGAAATTATGGAACTTTAAATTCCAGTATTTTATCAAATTTCATTAAGAGCTCAACACATTGAGAACCCTCGGTTTGACCCAGGAAGTAAGAGGGGAAGGGGAAGTGATCACTCTCTCCAGAAGGCTGTCTTCAGTTTAAATGTTTTACAGTCCTCTCCTCCATGTGACCATCTGAGAGCAGAGGACTCACTTTTAACAAATCACCTAGTATAGTACCTGGGTACTAGTAAAGGACCTGGGTAGTAGGAAATGTTTGAGGGTTCAGTATATCAGAGGATTAGAACATATACCTTGCTCAGGACATTAGAGGATTAATAGGATTGTTTATTTTATAATTCAATCAGAGCTCAAGGTAGATGAAAGCCTTGGTGCTCCTAGAGAAGGTGATGGGGTGTAGTAGAACCAGTGTAATAGTGTATTTGATAGAGAAAAGTTAAATTTGAGGCTTGATTTTGCCACTTACTAGCTCCTGGACCTTGGAGCTTATGTATCATACTCTCAAAAATTGGGATCACTATAATATCCCATTCCTAGTATTTATAAGGAATAAATAGTTGAAATCAGTCATGAGTGCTATTGTAGAAACCATGATCCAAAAAAATTGCTGTTGATAGGTCAATCAAAAGGCCATTTACAGCAGAAGAATTTGGTAACTGAAGAGAACAATCTTTCTGGAATAGGGCAAACTCAAACTACACTGGAGGGGACTGAGCAGAGAATTAAGACAAGAAAGTGAACAACTACAGACAAAATTTCCCACAAGTTTTGCTGTGTAAAGGAGTACAAACTAGGACAGAGTGGATTTGAGGTCAAGGGATTGTTATTCAGGGCTTCCCAGGTGGTGCTTTTGGTAAAGAACCTGCCTGCCAATGCAGGAGATTTGAGACGGGGGCTCAGTTCCTAGGTCGGGAAGATCCCCTGGAGGAGGACATGGCAACCCACTCCAGTATTCTTGCCTGGAGAGTCCCATGGACAGGGGGAGAGGAAAACACCATTGGAGGTTTGGTGGTCAAAGGAACTTCAAGGCCAAAGTAGTTTGTTGTCATCCACTTGGTTGTTAAAGACACCAGGAATGGTGATTGAGAAATTGTGGAAAGCAAGGTACAATAAAAGGTTAAGTCAATATCCCAAGGCTGCAAACCTTGATAACTGGGAGAGACAAGATTCAGGCTCAGTTCCCCGACTCTCAAGTCCAGGCACTACTGGCCACACTGCACTGTTCATGGACTTATTCTCCTTTTCCCTTTGACCTTTTCTCAGGTGAAGGGTCCAGGAGTTGGGCTGCTTGGGATTTCAAAAGGAGGCGAGCTCTGCCTCTCTATGGCTTCCTTCCTGAAGGGCATCACTGCGGCCGTCATAATCAACGGTTCTGTGGTCAGTGTCTGGGGAACCTTACACTACAAAGATGAGATTCTGCCGCCTGTGGGTTTCAACCAAAATCGAATCAAGATGACTAAAGATGGCTTTGCAGACATTGTGGAAGTCCTGAACAGCCCTTTGGAAGGAGCTGACCAGAAGAGCTTCATTCCTGTGGAAAGGGCTGAGTGCCCCTTCCTGTTTCTTGTGGGTCAGGATGACCACAACTGGAAGAGTGAATTCTATGCTAATGAGGCCTCTAAACGCTTGCAGGCCCATGGGAAGGCAAAACCCCAGGTCATCTGTTACCCAGGGACGGGGCACTACATTGAACCTCCTTACTTCCCCCTGTGCCCGGCTTCCCTGCACACCTTAGTGGGCACTCCAGTCATCTGGGGAGGGGAGCCCAGGGCTCATGCCAGGGCCCAGATAGATGCTTGGCAGCAGCTCCAGACTTTCTTCCATAAACACCTGGGTGGGGAAAAGGGGACAATTCTGGCCAAGCTGTGATCAAGGGAAGGATAGAACAGCTAGGAACACCTGCCACAGTTAGTATATACCGGTGTAGGTTTCTTCTGTTCAATAATTACTTAGAGTTTTTCCTCTTTAGTGTTAAAGTGAACTTACCAAGAAGCTTTTTAGATTTTTATAAATTACATACTTTTTCCGTTGTTTGAGCGGAGAGTGATTCTACAGAAAATGAAACAAATGGCCAAAAAAACATAACTGACAAGGCTTTAACTCTGAAAGGAAACGGTGAAATACACAGTTAACAGTATCTAGTACACAATTAGTGCTCCATAATTATTTGAATTATTTAGTATTATAATTTATTTTGTTTTTAATTAATAAATAAATGATTACCTATTGTGGGAAAAAAGAATACAAAATATCAAAAATATTATCAGATTTGAGTTTCTAATTTAAGAATGGAAGTGAACACCATAGCTGTAAATTAGTATACTAGTTAGATAACTACTTAGATGAAAACTACTAAAAATTTTCAAAGCAAATATGTTTTTAGGTCTTCAATCTTCTTGAATGAGGAAGGAGTCTCCTAGTGCCAATGTATTTTAATTACTTTTTTCATTTTCACATATGGAGTTTGTGATTTAGTTGTTTTGAAAGCTGGTATAACATCATTTAGATGAATTTCTTAAGTGACTTTAATATTGATTAGCATGCAAATGAATGATTTAGTTTTGTATTACTTGAAATAAATACACATTAAACTAAACTCTTCTAAAGATGAATATGTTTAAAATAAAAGATACTTTAATTTATGATCATGGTGTTTTAGTTTCTCAACTTTCTTTTTCAGTAAAGCATTTTCTGACAGATGTTTTCTCTTGAAACTCAAAAACAGTGCTCCTTTTGCTTACTCAGATTTTTCTTGTATCCCACTCTGAGGCAGATGTCATTTCCATTTTACAGATGAAACCAAGACTCAGAAAAATTCTTTGCATGGTACCTGTAGAGCTGGGGCTCATTCTCCCCACATTCAATTTCTTCTCTCTTTGTTAAGCTCATCCATGCTCTCTGCAGGGTAACAGCCACAGCCACAGGGAAAGAAAGTGGCTTTTCTTTCTTCTCCCTAAGTTTTCAGTGGATTTCCTGGACTTGAAGTGTGAGGGTAGGGGTGGTTTCAGGGCACTAATATTAAAAGGATAGTTCTGGAACCATGTTTAAATCCTGGCCTTTACCTAGTATGGTTTTGCAGGAGCTGACAGGCAACTTTAAATGCCTACACCCCCTTCCCTTGGTTATTAACAATGTGTATGTGATTTGCCCTCCTCCCTTCCTCTTTCCATATTTCTCTTTCCACCACTTTCTGTAAATAGCATGCTCCATGATAGTTGAAGGAATCTCCCATTAATCAAGCTGGAGAGTCAGGCTTCTCTAGAGATTCTGGGTCTAATCTTGAGGGATAAAAGGCAGAAGCAGCAGAAATTTTGGGATCAATAAATGACCAAGTGAAACTGCAAACCACATGTTTCAAAAGACACAAAGATGATTTCCTCTTTAAATTCTTGTTAGTAGGAGAATCTAACAAAAGGGGACTAGAGACATAACATAACATAACATAACATAAGCCATAGGCTTATGTTCTGGAGGGAGATGTGATATACTATGATGTGAAGATTAGAAAAGAATTCAGATAGTGGCCTTTGATATGGGTCTTAGCAGAGAGGATCTCTCTTTTTCTAAATCTAAAGTAATAAAAATTCATAGAAAGCTTGGAAAATAGAGAAAACTATTCAGCAGAAAAGGAACTGCATATAATCCATTCACTAGAAACTAACGCACTTAACATGTCAGAATATTTCCATTTTCCTCTAGGCTTTTTGTTGTATGTATTGAGTTTTTACTCAAGTGTACATTCTTTTTACTTTAATATCATATGGTGATTATTTTACCATGTTATTATTATATTCTTCAAACACATGACTTTTTAAAAACAGTGATGTGTATTCTGATTGGTGCTACTACCCTTCATTTAATCAATCCTCTGTTGTTAGCCCTTGACATTGTTGATAGTTTTTCTTTATAAAGCCTGTTCTGAGATGAAGGGACATACACATGTATAAGCCTGTGTGTGTCACTGATTGTTTCTTGAAGAGAGATTCTTTGAAAGGAAATTACTATGCATACCAGAAATGACCAGCTGCGCCATCAAGGACACTGGATGAAACAGCCATGTTACCAACATTGGTGCAATATGTGTGTATGTATACCTTTGTGTCTAATCCTTTATAATTTTATAAGTTTTATGGTTTGAAAAGATAATCTCATATTACTGTACTTTTGTTGTTGTTGCTGTTAGTAAAGTTGAATATCTCCCCCTCTTAATGGGAAAATATCTGTATTCCTTTTAAACTACATTTCCCATTCCTTCAGAATGTTCTCCTGTTCATGACCTACAGCACCATTTGATTATGTATTATAGAAGTAAGTAATTCTCATATATGTTGACCACATCACATCATCTTGTTATCTGCCATTTAAATTATGTATATGTGTGTGAATATATGTACGTGTTAAGTTTTGCAAGGTGAGTTGATCATGGAAGGTGGAAATGATAGGAAATATGTATCTGCCTGTACCTTTCTCCCAACCTCCAGCACAGAGTTCCTAAGACTCTTGTAAATACCTAAGTGACAGCAGCACTAGCAGCATCTTTTGTTCTATTGAGGTGACTCTAGGTGGGCTCCTGGATGGGGACTGCGTGGGCACTAGTAACCAGAAGGACCAACCCATGATCAGAAGCGTGAAATTTTCAGCTGTCTCTCCCAATTTTCCAGAGAGACAAAGGGCCAGAAACTGAATTAATAATTGAGCATGCCTATGAGAGGAAAGGGCCTCCCTGGTAGCTCAGCTAGTAAAGAATCCTCCTGCAACGCAGGAGACCCTGGTTTGATTCCTAGGTCGAGAAGTGCTCCTGGAGAAGGGGTAGGCTACCCACTCCAGTATTCTTGGGCTTCCAAGGTGGCTCAGACAATAAATAATCTGCTCGCAATATGGGAGACCTGGGTTAGATCCCTGGTTTGGGAAGATCCCCTGGGGAAGGGCATGGCAACCCAGTCTAGTATTCTTGCCTGGAGAATCTCCATGGACAGAGGGGCCTGGCAAGCCACAGTCCATGGGGTTGCAAAGAGTTGGACACGACATAGCAACTAAGCATATGTGAGGAAGCCTCCACAAAAATCCCAATAGTACAGGATTTGGAGAGCTTTCAGTTTGGAGAACACATCCACACTGGTAGGGAGACATACCTCAGCTCCACAGGGACAAAAGCTCCTACACTGGGACTCTCCCAGACCTCGCCCAGTGGAACTCTTCATCTGGCTGTTCCTCTGTATCCTTTATCATATTCTTCAATAAGGGAGTTGATGTAAGGGTTTCCCTGAGTTCGGCAAGCTGCTCTGGCAAATCAGTAGAACCTGAGGAAGGGGTTGTAGAAACCTCGGATTTATAGCCTAATCACACAGAGATTGTGGGTAACCTGGGGACCTACTACTTGCAATTGGCAGCTGAGGTGGGGTGAGAGCAGTTTTGTGGGACTGAGACCTTAACCTCAGGGAACTGACACCATCTCCAGGTAGTGTTAGAACTGAATTAAATTCTAGGACATCAGATGGTTGTCTCAAAGATTTACACTACACATATGGTGACCAGAAGTGTCAGAAGTGCAGTGTTCTGAGTAGTAAAGGAGTCACACAGAAAAGAGACACAGGAGGAGAACAGTAGGTTTTTCCTAAGATACACAAGGCGTTTTAGGAAGTGGAAATGATTGCTGAGATACACAATTCAGTTGATGAGCTCAAAAACAAAATAGACATGACTAGTAGTCAAATTAGGATTCATAAGAAGACTTAAGAAATCTCTCACAACTTCCAGAAATAAGAGGTAGGATATGTATGAGAAAAAAATTAAGGCATAGAAGATTGTATACCACAATCTGTTCCAGTAGCAGCAATGGTCTTGGTTTTGAATTAACAAATATACAAAACAGAATAGGCTTCACCAAGCACCAAGTTTACTTAGATTTAAAAGCTCAGGATAAGAGAAAACACAAGCACAGTATAAAGTCATCATGCTCTCAGGAAGCATGTGCTCACACAAGATGAGGCTGAGTATTGTGTAGACAACTTTTGGCTTCAGATTAAAAGGCTCTATACAGAAATGAATAGAAAGCCATTAAAAATTTCCAACGGTGTACTGAAGAATTAATACTAACAAACAAGAGCCTGGCTTTTAGTCTTGGCCACTATAAGGCTTCCCAGTGGCTCAATGGTAAAGAACCCGCTCGTCAGTGCAGGAGACGCAGGAGACTCCAGTTCAATAGTGGTTCAGGAAGATCTCCTGGGAGGAGGGCGTAGCAACCCACTCCAGTATTCTTGCTGGTAAAATCCCATGGACAGAGGATCCTGGTGGGTTAGAGACCACGGGGTTGCAAAGAGTCAGACACAGCTGAGCAACCCTGGCAAGCTAACATACTGCAAACTGATCTACAGATTCAATCTAACCTCCATCAAAATTCCAGCAAGTTTCTTTGCAGAAATTGGTAAGTTGATCTTAAAATTCCTATGGAAACTCAAGAAACCCATAATCTTGACAAAGAATAATAAAACTGGAAAACTCACAATAACCAATTTTAAAACTTGCTAGAAAGCAACACTAATTAAAATAATGTGGTACGTGCGTAAGAATAGACAAAAAAAAAATCAATGGAATAGAAATGAGATTCCAGAAATAAATCCTGACATTTACCACACTTACAGTCAATTGATTTTTGACAGGAAAATTCAAGGGAGAAAGAATGGTCTTTTCAACAAATTGTGTTGACACAATAGAATATCCATATGAAAAGAATTAATTTCAGTCCTACTTCATAGCAAACACAAGAATGAATTCAAAATTGATTAAAGCTGTAAATGTAAGAGCTCAAATTATAGAATTCTTTGAAGAAGATAGAGAAGCAAATCTTTGTAACTTTGGATTAGATAATGGTTTGACATCAAAGCGTAAGCAAAAACAGAAAAAATAAATGAATTGGACATCAAATTTGAAAACCTTTATGCACCAAAGGATACTGTTAGCTAGTTAGAATAGGAAAAAGGAGTCCAGAGTGGCAGTGGCTAAAAGACAAGGAAGGGAAAAGCCCATGAAAATAAAACAAAGGAAGGTCCGATGACTGGAGTCAGGACCTCAGGTAGAACAAACAGCACTCCTGGCTAGCCCAATTTACAAACAGTAGGCCCAGGGGGAGGAAAAAACACATAAAAAGAGGAGCCAAAGGGCTGGGGGTCTCTCTCCTGCGCGCACACACACACTCTCTCTCTTTCTTCTCTTCGTGTCTTTTGGATCGGCGTGCCCTCATGCCTTGAGGATGTATTTTCCTTTTATTTTCTAAATAAAACTGAGCTGTAACACTCATCTGTCTGAGAGCTGAGAGCTGTGACACGGCCTGTCCAAGAGCTGAGACATGTTCTGTCCAAGGTCTTTAACGTCTGTCACTTCAAATTTTTGTTGTGACGAGAGAGAACCAAGGAAATTACACACTCCCCTGACAATACCATTAGAAACTTGAAAAGACGTCTCACACAATGGTAAAAATTATTTCCAAATCACATATATGTTAGAGACTTATATATATATAAGAATATATAAATAGAATATATAAAGAACTCTTTCAATTCAACGGTAAAAAGCAGCAAGAGAAAAGCAACTAGAAACATACATAAGAATTCCCATAAAAATTTCAGCTGAGGAACTTCCCTGGTGGTCCAGTGGTAAAGAATCCACCTACCAAAAAAAAAAAGAATACACCGACCAATGCAGGGGACATGGCTTTGACCCCTGGTTCAGGAAGACGTCACATGCCGAGGGGCAGTTAAGCCCCTGAGCCATAACTACTGAAGCCTATGTCCCCTAAAACCTGTGCTCCCCATCAAGAGAAGCCACCACAATAAGAAGCCTGCACACTGCAACTAGAAAAGCCCACACAAGCAGCAAGAGAAGATCCGGAGAAGACAAAAATAGAGATATAAAAATTATTTTTTTTAACTGCCAGCTGACTTTTCAGCAGAAATGGCTTACCTGGTAGCTCAGACAGTAAAGAATCCACCCGAAATGCAGGAGACCCAGGTAGATGTGGGTTTGATCCCTGGGTTGTGAAGATCCCCTGGAGAAGGGAATGGCCACACACTCCAGTATTCTTATCTGCGAAATCCCATGGGCAGAGGAGCCTGGTGGGCTACAGTCTATGGGGTTGCAAAGAGCTGGACACGACTGAGTGACTAAGCACAGCAGATAAGAAGGGAACAGCATGATATATTTTTAAATGATGAAAGGAAAAAAATCTACAACCAAGAACACTCTACTCAGGAAGGCTATCACTCAGATTTGAAGGACAGATAAAGAATTTTAAAGATAAGCAAAAACTAAAAAAGTTCAGTATCACTAAATTACTTGAGAAGAAATGCTTTAAAAACTTCTCTAAGTATAAAAAAAAAAAAACTTCTCTAAGTATAAAAGAATAGGCCACAACTAGAAATATTAAAAGTATGAAAAAAAAAAAAAGAATCACTGGTAAAGGCACAAAAAAAGTAGTATAATTCAACCACTTACAAAGCAAGGTTAAAAGACAAAGTAACCAAATCATCTATATTCACAATAAATAGGTTAAGATATACATAAAGGATGTAAAATATGATGTCACAAACAGTAAATGGCGGGTAAGGTGGTGAGGGTAAAAATGCAGGGTGGTTAAAATGTGTCTGACATTAAGAGATCAGAAAATTTAAATAATCAAATATATATCCATAAATAAACCTCCTGGCCAGCACAAACAGAATTATATAACAGACAAACAGGAAAGAAAGGAATCTAAATATAAGACTAAATATAGTCATCAAGTCATAAGGAAGAGAGAAACAAAGAAGAAACAAAAAAGACCTGAAAAACAACCAGAACATGGCCAACAAAATAGGAATAAGTACACATCTATCAACATTACTTCATTTTCGTTTTCCTGGCAGCACTATGAGATTCTCAGGATCTGACTTTCCTGATCACAGCAGTAAAAGAAAAGCCACAGCAGTAAAAAAGCACCAAATCCTAACCACAGCACCACCAGGGAATTCCCCCAACAATTACTTTAAATGTAGACAGATTAAATGCTTCAATCAGAAGACACAGAGTGGCTGAATGGGTTAAAAAACAAGACCCGTCTAGAGGTTGCCTACAAGAGGTTCACCTCAGATCTAAAGAGACACACAGACTGGAAGTGAGGAGATGGAAAAGGCATGCCATACAAGTAGAAAATAAAACTGAAGCAAAAATAAATATATCAAATATATTAAAAATAATGCCTATTAATATTTTAAAAATTAAAATTTACATGAAACAAAGTGGTTGAAGAGAGAAAATAATACCAAAAAATATGTAACATTTTTAATTTTAGAAAGCAAAGAACAAAAAAAGAATAGTACCAATAATGTGTTTACACTCCCATATATTTACCTACTTTAAACATTAATCAAAATCTAGACGGATGCATCCGTCTTTGGGGGAAAGTGGGAAAAGGACAAAGAGACTCTGATCATTTACCACTGTAGATTTGTCATTATTGCTTATGTATGTGCTTAGTCACTCACTCATGTCCAACTCTTTGTGACCCCATGGACAGTAGCCCGCCAGGCTTCTCTGTCCATGGGGATTCTCCAGGCAAAATACTGGAGTGGGTTGCCATGCCCTCCTCCAGAGAAGCTACCTAAACCAGAGATCTAACCCATGTCTCCTGCAATGCAGGCAGATTCTTTACCAGCTGAGCCACCGGGGAAGCCCTTGCTTATGTATGCTTTGGAAAATTTGAAAAGCAGTATGCAAACCTATAGCAAATATCTGGAGACCACGAGAAAAAACACACATGTAGGCGCAATCTCTATTACAAAATCAAGCATGAATTTTGCTTCCTAGTATTTTTCTAAGAGTTTGACACACACTGTCACCTTGGATCCCCTTATAGCAGAGTTTCATCATGCTACACACAAGAACTCTTAAACCCCCAAAGATATAAACTTCTTTGAGCCTACGGAACTAGTCAGTGATGAAGCCAGAGCTAGAACTTCAATTACCTTTCACTGCAATGCTGCGGCTCACTGTTGAGTTCCACATTGGAGCTGGTCAAGGTTCTGACAGTTATCAGAGGCTGCTGCTAGCTGCTAAGTAGCTTCAGTCGTGTCCGACTCTGTGTGGGCCCCATAGGCAGCAGCCCACCAGGCTCCCCCGTCCCTGGGCTTCTCCAGGCAAGAGTACTGGACTGGGTTGCCATTGTCTTCTACGTATTAAAGGCTAATCCTTAGCAGTTTCCAAGCCTCATGTTTCTCCTTTCCAATATTTGAAAAATACTCCCAGTGTTTTATGGACTTGTTAAATTGTGTATGTAAAATAGATGGGACATCGCTAAAGAGTAGCTATTATTACATTATATGCAAAATGCTGGGTATCCTTAAACATTATACCTACATTGCTTCTAGGATCACGTTCAAAAGGCTGACATTTAGTATCTACAAAGGCCGAACATTCTCATTCCCTATTGTTGGTCCTTTATTGGACCAGAACCTGGTGGTCCGGAGCCGACGAGAGAGTGAAAGAAGTAAAGAGGCTAATATTCCCTGGGTTACACAGCCGGCTTTCGCGCTCCAGGGAATCAGCCAGAGAGAGAGAGAAAGAAAGACACGGGGACCCAAGCTCTGATGGAGCAAAGGTGTTTTATTGAATTCTGTAAGAGTATATATACCAGCAGCTTCTTTAGATAAAGATCAAGAGACCAGACTTTCCAAGTTTATCAAGGAAGCAAGAAGCAATAGAGGCCAAAAGGCCAAGAGAAAATCCATATGAAAAGAGGGTCGTAAATAGTTACTTTTCACCGTAAGGAAAAGCTAATGAAGGAAATCCTATGCAAGCATCCCATCTCTTTGATCTCTGTCCTGGGAGAGGCTTGCCTGCTCCTCTCGCCCCAGACAGGGACTGCTAAAGGAACAGAGGGCTCAAGAGAGATAGGAAACAACACAAAGGAATCTTACTGTTAAATGATTCCTGACACCTATGATACAGCAATTCGACTCCCAGGTATTCACTCCACTGAAAGGCACATATATGTCAATCAAAAGATATAGTCTTGAATATTCAGAGCCCTATACCTAGGAGTCCCAACCGGAAACTACCAAAAGCCTATAGTCAGTAATATCTGACCAATACTTTTATGATCACAAAATAAAATACTATTTGGCAGAGATAAAGAACAATTTACAACTAAATTCAAAAATAGCAATGAATCTCACAAATGTAATGTTCACGAAAGCAGACAATAAAAACGGCACACTGGAGGATTCATCACCATTAAATGCAGAGTTGGGAAAAACTAACCCGTTTTGTTGGACTCAAAACCTTGGGCAAGGGAAAGTGCTACTGGGGTGCTGGCAATGATGTTTCTAGACCCTTGAGCTTGGTTGCCCAAGTACGTTCGGGTTACGAAATACATTGAAATATACACGTAGGATTTATGCAGGGTTTTTTTGTGTGTGTGTGCGTGTATGTGTATAACTCTTTAAAAGTTTTAGAAAAAAAAAGTTGGGAGAAGCTAGAATTCTTGGAATTTTGCCTAAAGGCATTCAACTCCGGTTTCACCACGAATCCGTACCCAACTCGCTTCACTCCAACAAGCGAAGGATTGAAAAGAGGCGTCGGCGGGGCGGGTTCAGCGCCACCTTATAGACAGCAGAAAATCCCTGTGCGCCCCGCCCTGAGCCAGAAGAAACACCCGGTGCTTTTACCTCCGACGAGCAGGCGTCCGAAACCTAAGAGGACGCCTCCAGAGGCGGCTTAGCTACAGACCTCTCTCGGCTCCAGGCGACGCCTGACACTCTCGGACTTCCGAGCGCCGTCCACCCGACCTGAGGCAAAAACTCAAGTAGCCGACCGCGCTTTCACGCTCAGGGTCCAGACTGTGGCTCTGGGCCCGGGATGGTGGCGACCGTGACGCTGGAGCCGGCGGGCCGCTGCCGCTGGGACGAGCCCGTGCGCATCGTTGTCCGCGGCCTGGGGCCGGGGCAGCCGGTCACGCTGCGCGCGTCCCTGCGCGACGAGAAGGGCGCGCTCTTCAGGGCCCACGCGCGCTACTGCGCCGACGCCGCCGGCCTGCTGGACCTGGAGCGCGCGCCCGCGCTGGGCGGCAGCTTCGCGGGGCTCGAGCCCATGGGGCTCTTCTGGGCTCTGGAGCCCGAGAAGCCTTTTTGGCGATTTCTGAAGCGGGACGTGCAGACTCCCTTCGCCGTGGAGCTGGAGGTGCTCGACGGTCACGAGCCCGAGACCCAGAGACTCCTGGGCCGGGCGGTGCACGAGCGCGACTTCCTGGCGCCCGGGGTGCGGCGCGAGCCGGTGCGCGCGGGTCGGGTGCGCGCCACGCTCTTCCTGCCGCCAGGTGAGCCTGGGGTGCTGGGGCCTGGCGAGCGTGTTCTCCAAGCCGTCTTGGTTTGTGATACCGCTTCCCAGGAAGGGAGGCTTGGGATCAGGATCAGAGAAGAGGATGTTGACTAAATCAGTGACCTCACAGTCACAATGAAGGCACTCTGCTATGCCGTTTGCTTGCATTATCTCATTTAACCTCTGTATCCCAATGAGGTGGATACTGTTAGTATGCAGATTAAAAAAAAAAGACTGGATGGGGTCCGTAGGTTCACTTTGCTTTAATAACTACAGATTTCTATAACCTTCAGCTCCAACACAGTATCATGGTCTTACACAATATGATGACAGCCGAGGAAGCTAGTGCCACGTCACCCTTCTCTAATGTCCTGCGTACACTGGGCCCCTTGCCCACTTTTTCATGCTCCTCTCTACCACAGATCACTTTTCAGACTTCACTGCCTTCCTCACCTAAAGCCTCGCAGGATTTCTTTCTTTCCTCTAAGCAGACATTTGAACCAAAGGTATCACCGAGAGTTTTGATTTACTTTTGAAAGCTTCGTTTTGATTCTCAATTCTGTGCCCAGTCCTATAAAAGAACACTGCGAATAAACTGTCTAAAATCCTCCTTCCATGGTATAGTCATTAGACTTTATTACCCTCCTTTACAACTAAAGATTCTCCAAGTATACCTTGGAGATAATTTGGAATTTGTGTCCCTTGTTCAATAATGACTCGGAGCTCTTTTCTTTCCTCTGATTCACAGGCACCCACTAAATACTTTAGAAAGATTTCTAAAAGGAAAACAAATTCTTCAATAAATCATATAATACATTCTGTTTATAATATTGCCTCTTTAGGATCTGGACCTTTCCCAGGGATCATTGACATCTTTGGTGTCGGAGGAGGCCTGTTGGAATATAGGGCCAGCCTTCTGGCTGGCCATGGCTTTGCCACATTGGCTCTAGCTTATTCTAGCTTTGAAGATCTCCCCAAGAATTTTGATACCATCGACCTGGACTACTTTGAAGAAGCCCTGTGCTACATGCTTCAACACACCCAGGTTCTCCTAATGTCCTTTATCATTCTCTCTAGAACCTGCAGAGAGGGTGTCACTTTGCACTGACCTGTACCAAGTGTGTTGATGCTGTTCTACTCTTCTTTCACAGACATTTCTTTTGAAGACTTCCTTGGTTTTAGGTACTCCACTTTCTCTGTCAGATGGATTAAAATTGCTGACTTCATTGTAAAATTCATGTGAGATTTTATTTAAGGGAATTATGTAGTAATATTAAAATTTCTTCAAGTGGAGTTTCTAATTTTTTAGCTTTGCATGCTTTTTAATCTTTATATTTCTGATAGCAGAATATGTTTTCAGACTTGATCGAAACTTGTTCACCCATTTCAGAAGCTAAGAACTACTTAATTGGACTCTGAAGTCTTACTTTATTTCTATAAAGTTAACCATTTTTCAGTATATATTTAGATGTGGTCTGATAATGATTCACTTCTTGAGACAGACTTTCCTTTCACAAGTTAGATACCCAAGAGCATTGATGCTATAATTCCACCTGAATGAGGCTCTGAACTCAACAGGCTCCATGACTCCGCATTCTCCAGTGCATGACTCTCTGGAAGTTTGCAACCAGTTCCCAAATTTGCCAGTGAGTTTTTTAAGATTTGTTTGCCACGTGTCCAGGAAGATAGTCTTTACAGGGAAAGAATCTCCTCTGTCAGCTGAGGTTGAGTGTCTTGTGAGCAGTTCACAAGTCAAAGCTAGCAGCATCTCTAGTTGCATTTAGAAAAATGTTTTTCTCTGAGGTAGGTTTTTGACTTTTGTCTCTTCTTTTCTTGCAGATAAAAGGCCCAGGCATTGGCCTTCTGGGCATTTCCTTAGGGGCTGATATTTGTCTCTCCATGGCCTCATTTTTGAAGAATGTATCAGCCACAGTGTCCATCAATGGATCTGGGTTCATTGGAAACAAAGCTATGTCCTACAAAGAGAACAGCATTCCACCACTGGGCCATGACCTGAGGCGAGTGAAGGTAGCTTTCTCAGGCCTCCTAGACATTGTGGATGTAAGGAATGACATTGTAGGGGGGTGCGAGAACCCCTGCATGATTCCAATAGAGAAAGCCCAGGGGCCAATCCTCTTCATTGTTGGTCAGGATGACCGTAACTGGAGGAGTGAGTTTTATGCCCAGATAGCCTCGGAACGGTTACAGGCCCATGGAAAGGAAAAACCCCAGATCATCTCTTATCCTGGGGCTGGGCACTACATTGAGCCTCCTTATTTCCCCATGTGCCCAGCTTCTTTGCACACGTTCTTGGACAAACCCGTAATGTGGGGTGGGGAGCCCAGGGCCCATTCTAAGGCCCAGGTAGATGCCTGGAAGCAAATTCTAACCTTCTTCACCAAACACCTTGGACCTTCCCCCAAATTGTAATGCACTGCTCTGCTACTGACAGGAGAGAGAGATTCAAGGTTGGATTTTAGTGTTTAATAATCTTATGTGAATCATTTGTCCTCTGGGTAACATTAAATTCATGTCATTGTTATTAATGATGTAGGAAACTTTTTGAAGTTTTATTTCATTATGAATTTTTCTAATGTAACACATACCTCTTATAGAAGATTGGATTAAAAGTATACAATACAAAATAGTAAAAAGTATCCCCACTATTAAAATTTGTGTTTTTGTCTAGGTGTTTTTACATAACACTTGGAGGCACAGGTGAAATTTAAAGCTGAACAAATACTGGGTTACTTTTTCCATCATTGGGAGAGAATGACCATTCAGCATTTGCTACTGGTTCAACCACTACTGACAGAATTTTCATTGGCTAAAATATACACAGAGATGCTGACAGGATAGCCAGACTGACCTCTTTCTCATGGAGATTAAAGAAGAATCTCCTGGGAGGAGGAGTGATGGATAGGGGAGCATCTGGCTCTAGAACAGTTCAGTCAAAACTCTGATACAAAGGAGCGTGACTATGACCTATTTTTCTTGCTTCCTGGCTCTAAGAACAAACTTTGGAAACTCATATTGTGACGTTCCTAGAGGCATCATCACTTTCCCTGACAACAAAGCTACAAAGCATTATGTAGATATATTTGAAGAGATAATGGTTGAGAATTTTCTAAAACTGACAAAGACGTCAACCACATAGTCCGGAAGAACTGTGTCTTACTTAGCTCAGGCTTCTCTGACAAAATACCACAGATAGAGTGGCTTAAACAACAGACATTTCTCACAGTTGTGGAGTCTGAGAAGCCCAAGATCAAGGTTCTGGCAGATTCAGTTCCTGGTGGGGGCATTTTCTGGCTTAGAGACAGCTGCCTTCTCCCTGTCTCCTCACCTGGCAGGGAGAGGAGAAACCACCTCTGGTTTCTCTTCCTCATTTCATAAGGACACTAATCCCATCATGGGGGCCTCATCTGAACCTAACCTCTTAAAAGGCCTACCTTCAAATACCATTGCATTGAGGTTTCAGATTTCAACATTTGAGTTTTGAGGGGACATAACACCCATAAACTTCGAGTCAGTTAAAGAAAATCATATTTAACATATCACAGAAAAGTTGGTTCTTAAAAAATATTTATTTATTTGGCTACATTGGGTCTTGGTTGCAGCATGCAGGCTCTTCCTTGTACCAAGTGGGCATCTCTCTAGTTGGGGCGTGTAGGCTCAGTAGTTGCAATATGTGGGCTTAGAGGCCCCATGGCGTATGGGATCCTAGTTCCCTGACCTGGGATCAAACCTGCATTCCCTGCACTGGAAAGTGTACTCTTAAGGACTGGATCACCAGGAAAGTCCCAGAAAAATTGTTCATAACATTAATTCTTTGCTACTTCTGGCACCAAGAGGCGGGAGATCTACGCCCTCTCCCCTCAATATGGATGGGTTTCTGACTGCTTCAGTTAGTACAGTAGGGCTGAACTGATGCTTTGTGACTTCAGAAGGTTGGTCATAAAGGCCATAACGATTCTACCTTGTTTGCTGGGAACACTTGCTCTTGGAGGGCTGAGCCACCCAATGAAACTTGACAAACTTGAGGCTGTGATGCTGTGAGGAAGCCCCAAATACACGGAGAAGCCAACTGTAAGCACTCCTGTGATCGTCCCAAATGAACTCAGCCTGTGAGTCATCTCAGCTCAAGTACTAGATACATGAGTGAACAAACCTCTAGATGATTCTTGTCCTAGCCATTGAATCTTCTTAGTGAAGGCCTCAGATATCCTGAAGCAGAGAAGAGTTGTCCCAGTCAAGCGCTGTCCAAATTGTGGATCTATGAACAAAATATTGTTTTATGTGACTATGTTCGGGGTGTATTTCAATTATCTATTGCTGTGTAACAAACTACCCTAAAACATAGTAACTTAAAACATTAACCATTCTATTTTTCTCACTCACCAGGCAGGGAAGTTGGTATTGGCTGTCAGCTAAGATCTCGGGCAGGGCTGTGGGTTCACAGGGTCTCAGTTCTCTCCATGTAGGCCTTTACAGTGGCTAATTTGGCTGGTTACAAGAGTGAGCACCCCAGCGTATCAAGGCCGAATTGCACGGCCTTATCTTTGACCTAGTCTTGGAAGCTACATAGTATCACTCCTGCCATACACCACTGGTCAAGGTGGGCTTACCTGGTGGCTCAGATGGTAAAGTATCTGCCTGCAATGCAGTAGACCCAGGTTCAGTCTCTGGGTTGGGAAGATCTCCTGGAGAAGGGAATGGCTACCCACTCCAGTAGTCTTGCCTGGAGAATCCCATGGACAGAGGAGCCTGGCAGGCTACGGTCCATGGGGTCACAAAGAGTCAGACACGACTGAGTAACTAACACTTTCACTGGTAAAGACAATCACAAAGACCCACAAACTTTAAGGAGAACATAGAGTCTACCTCTCAAAAGGAGAGTGCAGAGTCTCTAGAAAAGCATGTGGAATGGGAAACACTGTAATCACCTTTTAAAATCTGCCTTCTAAGCCACACTATTCACATTCCTCCTACATGTAAAATACACCCATCCCTCCTTTGAGGACCTCCTTCCCTACCAGAGTCTCATTCTAGTATAGCACCATGCTCAGGCTCAAAGTCCAAGACTGCATCAATTATATCAGGTTCAGGTACAGATGAAGCTCCTCAAGTATAGTTCCTTGGGTATAGCTCCTTAAGCATCTTTTCAATCTTAAGACCTATGAACTAAGTAAAGAAGTTAACTGTACGTACACATACCTCAGGATGTGGTGGTGGAGTAAGTATAATTCTCAGACATTCCTGTTAAAAAATGGGGAATGTGGGAGGCACATAACAGTCGCTGACCCCTAGCCATTCTGAAATCCAGCTGAGAACATGTTGCCAATTCTTTCATTACTGCTTAGTTTACACTCTGTGAGTTGTTCTCTGTAGCTCCTAAATGAGGGAAAAAACCCTCCTGGATCTGTTTCCTGGAAAAAATGGATGAGACATCCAACTGTCTCTTTTTATTTTGCTCTGTCTTTGTTGTTCAGTTGCTAAGTCATGTCCAACTTTTGGTGAAGCCATGGACTACAGCACACCAGGTTTCCCTGTCCTACACCATCTCCCAGAGTATGCTCAAACTCATGTCCATTGAGTTGGTGATGCCATCCAACCATCTCATCCTCTGTTGCCCCCTTCTCCTCCTGCCCTCAATCTTTTGCTCCTCAGGGTCTCTTCCAATGATTCGGCTCTTCTTACATTCTCTCTTTTTAGCATACTTCATATACTCTCTCTTTTAGTTCAGACTCTGCTTCCACCAGAACAATTCTCTTAAGAATTATGCAGGTTTCCTGAAAATTATTAGTGGGTTTCACTTTCCTAGATAATACACCACTGAAAATCTGTTTGAGATAGGAACTTCTCTGTCTGGGGGTCCTTGGGATGATGCTGCAGGCAAACATCCTTCAGGTTTCCATAAATTCTATTATTTAATAGACAGGATCTGCTAGGTAACACCTTAAAATTAGAGGACCTTTTGCCATTCTGAAATGTTTTATGAAACAGTACCTTGAATATTTTCTTAACAAAGTCTCTCACACAGATCCACCCTGGGTTTGACTTCGTTCTGAATTCCTGTCTTAATTACAGATTAATTTACTATCTGAAGAAGTTGTAAGAAACAGTGTTATTGTTATATCTGGCAAGCCCTGGTTGCTTCCTATTTAGCAGTTTGTTCTTTAGCTCACCTCTTCCTCTTCCATTTTGTCATAGTTAGCAAGGAGAAGCATAGCTGATGATGTTCTTTAGTAGTGTGCCTGTGTTGCTTTTAGTTTTTGTGTGTCTATTGTAGGTTTTTGATTTCTGGTTACCACAGGTTTCATATATGATGCTGCTACTGCTAAGTTGCTTCGGTCGTGTCTGACTCTGTGCGACCCCATAGATGGCAGCCCACCAGGCTCCGCTGTCCCTGGGATTCTCCAGGCAAGAACACTGGAGTGGATTGCCATTTCCTTCTCCAATGCATGAAAGTAAAAAGTGAAAATGAAGTCGCTCAGTCGTGTCCGACTCTTCTGTCCGACTCTTCGCGACCCCATGGACTGTAGCCTACCAGGCTCCTCCCTCCATGGGATTTTCCAGGCAAGAGTACTGGAGTGGGTTGCCATTGCCTTCTCGAGTATATGATGACCTATATCTATATCTACTTGTTTTGAAACTAGTAATCATTTAGTCCTTTAAGTTAAAACACATTCTAAAAGATCTGCATTTTTTATTCCCCTCACCTACATTTTGTGTTTTTGATGTCAGATTTTACATTTTCATGTTTACCCTTAACTGTTTATTGTTGTTATAGTTGCTTTTTTGTCTTTGAATCTTCTTACTAGCTTCTTTAAGTGGTTAATCTTCAAATCTTACTACACATTTTCCTTTCTTAGTGCAATTTTCCCTTTCCTAATGAATCTTCTTTTCCACTTAGAGAGGATCCTTTAACGTTTAATCAAGGAAATGAAGCACCTATACTCTAAAAACTATAAAACACTGATGAAGAAAACTGAAGACAATACAAAAAAAAAATGGAAAGATATCTTGAGTTCTTGGATTGGAAGAATTAGTACTTAAAATGGCCATAGTACCCAAAGCGATCTAGAGATGTACTGCAATCCCTGTTAAAATACTCATGACATTTTTCACAGAAGTAAAATAAACCCTAAAATTTATATGGAATTACAACAGGCCCCAAACTGCCAAAACAATCTTGAGAAAAGAAAAAAGAGAGAGAGAGAGAACAAAGTTGGAAGTATTATGTACCCTATCTTCAGACTATATTACCAAGTTATAGTCATCAAAGCAACATGGTACTGGCACAAAAACAAGTATATAGGTCAACGGAACTGAATAGGGAGCCCAGAAATAAATCCATACACCTTTGGTCAGTTAACCTATGACAAAGGAAGCAATTAACCTATGACAAACAATATGCAATGGCAAAATCATAGTCTCTTCAACAAGTTGTGCTGGAGAAACTGGATAGGTACATGTAAAACAATGGAATTAGAATATTTTCTCATACCATATACAAAAATAAACAAAAGATAGATTAAAGACCTAAATGTCAGACTTAAAGCCATAAAACTCCTACAAGAAAATATAGGCAGAACACTCTGACATGAATCATAGCAACATTTTTTTTTTAATCTGTCCCCTAAGGCAAAAGAAATACGAGCAA